GTCCACAGCGAGCCGCTCAAGTTCCCGGCGTGCGGCCCCGCCTTCTCCTCTTCCGGCGACAGCCCCGCCTCTGGCTCCTCCCCTGACTCGGCGGGCTCCGGGGTGGGAGGACCCTACCGCACGCGGCAGGACTGCATCCGCTGCTTGGAGAGCGAGATCATCGCCGCCCTGGTCCCCTGCGGCCACAACCTCTTCTGCATGGAGTGCGCGAACCGCATCTGCCAGAAGCCTGAGCCTGTGTGCCCGGTCTGCCAGGAGCCAGTGACCCAGGCCATCCGTCTGCGCAACATGTGATCTGCTGGATACGGGGGGGCGGGGGGAGGAGGGGGGTGTGCCCATATTTGTTCTTTAGGGGACAACAATAAGGGTTTGCCTGGGGGTGTTACTTAATTGGGGATATAGGTAACTTTTTTTTTTAATAATTTCAATTTTTATTATTTTTCTTTAAGAGTTTGCTGAATACTTTTACCCTTTTTTTTTTTTTTTAAAGATTATTATTTTTTTAGAGATGTATCATATTTGCTATGACTGTTGAAGATTAGGTGTGAAGGAAGTTGATGAGTACGCCTGAGAAGTGTTTGTTCATGACATTTGAAGCTTCGCCCAGTTGTTTTAGCTGCTACATTAATTACAGGAGCGTCGAATCCCCGTCAACCCCCCGACCTGTCACACTTTCGGTGGGAACGAAGGTTTTCTCTCTAACCCCGGCCAGGTGTGATAATAGCGCTGCCGTGCCTGCCATCATAGCCTTTTATTTCAGTGCGTTAGTTTTAATCAGAATGAGAAGACTCGTGCCTGATTGCGTTAGCCATCCTATAAATTTAACCTCGATCGTACGTGGAAATCGCTCCATCACTGCACAGCCCAGAGCATCCCGTTCCCAAAAACACTATAGTTTCTCTCCCCGATCCTTCCATTGGGTCATGAAAGGGATGTTTTACAGATGGGGTCCTAGTTCCCCTCGTCTGCTTTGTCCGTGGGTGAGACGAGCCTGAAGCCACCCCACACCCACACACTACAGCTCGGTTTTAATGTTGGGGGACCCGGCATTCATGCATCGTATTATTTTTTTTTTTTTTCCTGCTTTTCTCCTCTTCCTGCCCGAGAATTTCAGCGGTACGGACGCAGAATGCGTTTTTTTCCTTCGGGTAGCAGTTTTCCTAATCATCTTCTTTTCAAAACTGGTCGCCTTTCCCCCGCGCCTTGGTGAGAATTTCAGTTCAGCTGCCTTCCTGCACGCTTTTTTTGCAAGGTTTTGCTACGTGACGCGATAATCTTAGCCCAACCTGCGCACTTTTCCAGTTTTCGGTCCCAATGACACGTAATTTTCCCTTCTACTCCCCATCCCCCCCCCTGAAATATAGAGCTTCAGTACTCAACGTCTCAAGGTTGACATTGAAATTTGTTTATTAATATTGTTGTTATTAACTGGTAAATTACAGAGTTTTATTTTTTATTTCCACTTGAAGTTACATTTCTTACGTATAAATCTATTAAAGTTTACAGATGAGAGATTTTTATTTTACTCCAATGTGAGCAGACTGGGCGATGAGCCGCGGGCCCACTGTCGCGCATCAGTTCTATTCGCTTGTAGTATAGTTCCGACAGTATTGAAAATGACCTGGCTGCCGTCTCGTGGGCGAGGAGGAATCGCGCATGCTCTTCTGTAGTAGAAAACGGCCAAGGATCTCCCACTTCAGCTGTGTGTATGTCTGTAAGCCTCCTGCAGAACTCATGTTCATATATGTCAATGTATAATAGTACATATTCAGTATATATGATATAGCTCTGTGTACAAAAGCACATCAAGCTATATAAATTACTGTTCAACAGTTAAGTATTTGCTAATTTTACTACACTTTTGTTATGTATATGTAGGGCAGTCTTAGGGCATACAAATTCAACAGATTGATAAAAATTTAAACAGACTATATTTTATGATAAAGGGCCTTTTAAGTTATGTGGCCAAAGCACTGATATATATTTGCTGTAAAGAGAATTATAAGAGTTTTATTTTTCTGATATTAAAGTTACTTAATAAAGACGGTTTCATTTAAAAAAAATAAAATTGCGTTTTGACTTTACCTTGTTGAGTGAGTGGGTGTACTACTTGAAAGGGTTGAATCTTTCATATTAACCTTTGTTTTCGCTTTTTCATCATGACTGCCATATCGCCTATTTTGCGTATGTACATCAAGGTAATGTTCTCCACTGCAAGTGCCATTGTATTAAATGAAATAATATCCATTTGGGAAGTGAGTGCTGGCATAATTGGTCATGAGTGTCATCAAGTTGTTTATAGTTTCGTGTTAATACGCGAAATGGTATTTGATAAAATATTGTGCCCTGACTGAGGGATTTCAAAATCTGAGTCGACGCTCGCTTTGCTGTGTTTACGACCTACTGGTGTTCCTTCAACCACATTCTGTTCAGTGTCTCTCCCAGGTGGTTACGTATCTCACTGGAAAATATCCTATAACATTGGCGTTTTCAAGCGACGCGCGTCTCTAACGTTGCCTTTACTGCGAGTCTCTCGCTGCTCTTCGTTGGGCCAGAAATCAAATGGAACGTGACAGCCGAGCAGAGGGCGCGTGGCTGTTGGTGCAGTGCAGTGCGCTGTCTGTGGAACGGAGGGCGTCTCCCGCGAGCCGTCGCAGTGCGAGAAGGCGAGCCCGCCTGCCCCCTCGCGCCGGGAAGTGGGTCAAACGTGATGCGGCAGTCGCCTGCTTATGAAACCTCGCCGCTCCGTGTTAGCGGTGCCCCAGTTTATTTTTTAATTCTTATGGGAAGAGCCTTCAGGCTGCAGCATGATAATGCTGCTGCTTGGAGCCTGTGAGGTGTTTAAAGCTTAATGGCATGCCACGCAGGACATTTATCAGCCTTCCCAGGGTCCTGTGTTTTCATTGAGATGTTTTATCCTGTGTGATCAAGTCCTCCCAACTACTTATTTTAGTGGGGTTCTGAAGTCTCTGGAGACTAACAGTCTTCACCACTTTGGCACTGCCGCCTCACCTTGAAATCGAAATAGCAGCAGTTTGAGTGTGTGCGTGTGTGCGTGCATGGTAAACTTTCAGCCTTAAGGGTTCTGTCAAAAAATGTTTCATGAACAGTGCATGAATTGCATGTTCTTTCATAGATGGTCCCCCAATTTTAGGGGCACTTAAGTGGATAAATTAAATTAAATTGGATATAATTCTTTGTTCTAAGTCCTTTGCAGTCAGTAGACCTATTCTATTTGAGCTAGGCATGCGCAGAATTGATCGCTAGTGACCACCTGGTGCATCCAGGTTAGATTTGCGTCCGGCTTCATCCCGACTTGGTCTGGTGTCATGCACACGTATGCAAAGGTGACCTCTGGAGATCGAGGCGGTTCCGGTTTTTAGAACCAAGCACCACATTTATTCACTGACTGCATGGATCAGGGCATGATGGGAAATTCCGGGCTATCCCCTGAGCACTGAGGTGATTGGCTCTAATTTTTGATCACAAACACATTTTATGGGAAATCCTAATTTTCTCCGTAATTATGATATTTAATGCTAGTTTGTCTCACTTTTATTTTGTGTAACGATTGTCATCTGTTAACAGATCTGCAGTTGATGACGCATGTGCGATATCTTCTGCCATACAGCTGTATAACGAACATGGTCTGCAAGTTAGATCCACCTGAAGCTTATCTATAACAGGATGTCAAATGCTTCTAGGACTTCCTGTATGTTCTCTGAAGACTGCTGGAAACTGTCTGACTTGACTGCAGTTTTTTTGCCACCATCCTGTTGCAGCCAGCCAGTCAGATCTTGTCCACTTTTTAGGTGGGGCACAGTTCATCTCGAACAAGCCTACTCTCAAGTCTGGAGCTGTCCAGTGGAAAGCATGTTCAGGTGGATCCAGGTCAGGTGATTGACTTGTGCGTTACGTCATATTACGACTTTAATACGCTCCAGAAAGCAACAACGCGTGCAGTCGATCTTGCATAGCTTCAAGTGTCTGCATTTGTTTGATAGCAGGGACCATCCTCCTGCCCTTAGAATTCTTCCTGCTGCTCATCTCAGTCCTACTGATAAATACAAGGGAACCAGTTCCATTGGCGGCCATACGTGACCACGTCATAAGGCTGCCTCCATGTTTCATCGATGAGGTGTTCTGCTTCAGATAATGACCAGTTCTTTTCCTTTCCCAGTCGTTTTTGTCCCACAGTTCCAGCACAAGTTTGTCTTTGTCTCATCTGTCCATGGGATATTGTACAGGCCTTTTAGTTCCTTTTTTTTGGCGAAATAATTTGGGCTCCTGTTTTTCAGACTTCCCAACAGGTCCTCCATTTTCACTCTGAAGTTTTCTCTTGATTGTTGACCATGACCCAGACATGGCTACATCCTGGGAGGTGCTCTTGATCTGGTTGACCGTCTTGAGGAGGTTTTTTCCTTGCCTGAGAAATAAGTCCCGTCACCTCTGATTTACCTGTGTTGTATTTCAGTTTTAACATCTTCACCCCTCCGGAACACGGGACACGCCCAGAAACACTCAGAACACATTGCCGAAAACAAATGCTGAGATGCTGATTATGGAGAACAAATTTATAAATGGTGCACAAGGATAGATTATCAATTTTATAATCATGGGTTTTAAATTTGAGCGAAAGTGGGAGATTAAATACTTTGGAAAAATACAAGAATTAAACGTCATGAGTACAAGGTCTTGTGTTTGCATCAGGTTTCCGCAGCTAATCCAAAATAAAGCAAGCTGATGATAATCTTTTTCTTTGTTAATTGAATTTTCTGGTTTTTTCAACCTGTGCCATTTGATATGTGCGGAGTAAAACCTACCGCTAATCTATTTTTCTGCAGGTCGCAATATTGATTAGAAAATTTTGTGCCCGTGCAACTTGCAACTGGGCTCAGAGTTGGGGCTTCAGGGCATAGGTCTGCAACATATTTCACTAGAGTTTCCATGTAAATTAGATGACACCAATATCATATTAATGAAGTTTTACAGCGGAGGGTGGCATGTTGGTGCAGTTGGTAGCACTTTTGTCTCACAGCTAAAAGGTTGTGGATTCAGATCCGGCCTGGGGCCTTCTGTGCAGAGTTTGAATGCTCTTCTTGTGTTCCTATGGGTTTCCTCTGTGTACTCCAGTTTCCTCCCGCAGTCCAAAAGCATGCATGTCATGCTAACTGAAGACTCTAAATTGCCCATAAGTATGAGTTTGTGTGTGAATGGTGCATGCGCCCGTGTACAGCCTGTGTGATATTTCTTACAACCGGCTCCACCTTACTGCAGATGTACATATGTGAGGGCTTGGCGAAAGAATTCTGAAAACTTGTCAGGTTATGACATGAGGTGAGAGAAAAAATAGTCTCTCTCCTACATTTTAATCGACTGTTAGTACTTTGTTCAAAGCAGTAGTTTTTTGGGACACAATACCCATCAAACAGTGTACCATCCCAGTTATATCTGTACATGCAACTGACGAAAAGCGCTGGGGAGACTTCCTGGTTAAGTCGCTGCAGCTGAAAACTGTTTCACTGGCCTATGCCGCTGGGTCATTCCAGAATCCCCTAGCATGTCTAACTGGAATTTCTCAATCAGCTGGCAGTTCAGCAATATACAGTGCTGTGAAAAAGTATTTGCCCCCTTCTCAATTTCCTCAATTTCTGCTTATTTTTTTATATCTAAATGTTTCGGATCATCCTGTTAATTTTAATACAGGACAAAGACGATGTGAGTAAATGCAAAATTCAGCTTTTGAACCTTCATTTCATTTATTGAAGGTAAAGAGTTATTCAAAACCTGTATCACCCGTGTGAAAATGTGATTACCACCTCAAAACCTAATAACTGGTTGTACCTCCCTTGGTGGCTACAACTGCAATCAAACATTTGCAATAACTGGCAATGAGTCTTTCATATCATTGTGGTGGAATTTTGGGGCACTTTTGTTCACAGAATTGTTTTAATTCAGCCACTGAGGGTTTTTGAGCATGAACGGCTTTTTAAAGGTGATGCCACAGCATCTCAATCGGATTCAAGTCAGGGCTTTAGAGTAGGCCTTCTCAAAACCTTCATTTTGATCCTTTTGAGCCATTCAGAGGTGGGCTGCATCCAAATGTCCGCACTTCACTGCACTCCCAGACTCGCGGACTTTGCAGGTGCGTTCACCCGAAGTCCGGGAGTGCTGAGGGCTCTCCAAATCCACAATTCATCCAGTCCACAAGGGGCCTCAAGCGGACTTTCTGCAGACTTCCAGTGAGTCCGCTTGGGGTGCAAACTTCACTAGCGTAATTACCCACAATTCATTGCAACTGCAGCTGAACTGTGGGTCTCAAACTGATGGCTGGACTCTCTGCTTCTGGATTGTCTGGTTGTGAGCAGTATTCATGGCTCCATCAATCATGCCAAGTCGCTCAGGGTCTAAAGCGGCAAAGCAGCCCCAGACCACACTACCGTGTTTGACTGTTGGTTTGATGTTCTTATTGTGGGGTATTGTGCTAATATTATGTCAGATTTAGTGGGAGTCATTTCATCCAAAACTCTCCACTTTCTCCCAAAATTTTCCACTTTTGACTCATCAGTCCACAATATTATGCCAAAAGTCTTGGGAGTCATTGGTATGTTTTTTTCTTTTCTTTTTTTTTGTATATATGAGACTTTTGTAAATGTGAAAAGTGTTCTTTTAGGTCAGCAGTGGTTTTCACCTTGCGGCTCTCCCATGGGTGCCGTTTTTGCCCAGTCTCTTTCTGATTGTGGAATCCTGAACACGGACCTTGAGGCAAGTGAAGCTTGCAGTTCTTTAGACGTCAGTCTGGGTTCTTTTGTGACGACCTGCACTCTTGGAATTTTAGTAAGGCGGCCACTCCTGGGAAGGTTCACCACTATTGCAAGTTTTCTCCATTTTTAGATAGTGGTTCTCACCATGGCATGCTGGAGTCCCAGAGCCTAAGGAATGGTTTTATAACCCTTTCCAGACCGATTGATGTTTTATCAACTGCTTTGCTTCACATCAGGTCTGAATTTCTTTATATCACAGCATCTCATGCTGCTTTTTACCTACTTGACATGGCCAGATAGGTTTTATTTAAATGATGCTCAGATTCATGTGGGCTGGGAGAAACCATGACTGCTATCTCAACTTAAGTTGAAATGAATTATATATTAAATTTATTTAACTGGTTAATTTAGTAATCAAGTTACTTTTTCCACATAAGGCTAGGTAGGCAGCCTTCTCCCTTCAATAAATGAAATCTTCATTTGAAAACTGTATTTTCGTCTAATATTAAAACTAGTTTGATCTGAAATATTTAAGTGTGACAGTTGTGCTAAAAGAAGAAAGCGGGAAGGGGGCAAATGCTTCCTCACAGCACAGTAAGTAGGTGGCTACCTCTTGTATTTTTTTTTTTTTTAATTGGGATCTTGGAGTCTCTCAAGTAGTGAGAGAAATGGGTAATGTTTGCATGTGCTCAATATGTTGGAAGCAAACTTGAGCTTGTTTGATTGTGTAAGTCGCTGACATTAAGTGAAGTTCATTATAACTGGATTGAGGATCAATTTTGGTTATGTTTCGTCTTGAGATGCAAATCAAATGCAAAGGTTTTTGTATGTTTTTGTTTATGCAATATAACTAGGTTTAAAATCAGCCATACTTTTAATTAACATATTCACCAAAATGAAGGTTTCATAATTATTTGCACCCTTGGTTCAGTACTTGGAGCAACCACATGTGCCAAAGATAACAACCTGGTGACTTTTTCTGCGCTGTGCACTTGTAAGGTTATGGCACAGATTTGGAGTGACTTTCGACTATTCTGCTATGCTAATTGGGGGCGGTGGATGGATTTTGGCTTGGAGACGAGAGGTTAGGGGTTAGGAACCATTGTTCTAATTGATTGACTTACCATTACAGTTGGGTGTAACATAGTTTATTCTACAAGTAAATTTCCATCTTCTTGTGGAGCGTTTATACGTTTTGTCTATTATCAGCTGCATATTTTCAAAGATTGTCAGGGGTCAAGGTTCAGGGGTGTCAAGGTCATTGATCTGAATCGCCTAATTTACACTATATCTCAAACTACTGTAGATAGCCACTGAGTTACTATTGAACACATATATTAAATCATAAATGGAGATTAAAATAACACCATGACCTCTGACCTCTAGAGACCTTGAAAGGTTAAACCAAGGTGATGAGATTTCAGATGGCTTTATCTCAGACACTACCGTAGATAGCCACTTAGTTACTATTAATCACATTAGCAAATAAAACTCCTATATCGTGAGTAAAACAGCATCAACACCTTTGACCTTGAGTGACCTTGAAAGGTCAAAACCCAAGAGCGCATATACCCCATAAGAGGATCGACTCATTGAACAACTCAAATATGTGCGAAGGGCAGGGTTTTCCGTGCCTGGCGACGCTTGTTTAATATTCGCATGCCCACTGAAGCGAATTATGAGGTCTATAAGGGCCTCTGTGGGGACGACCGTTGGTCTTTCGGTCTTGTGTCTTTAACGGTAATGTTTTATTCTCTTCTGCCATCTAGTGGGTAAAATGATTACTTTAGGACTAATCAAAACTATATTTTTCCCATTCCGTGTATTTTATTCATTGCACATCCATGATAGCAAAAAATAGTTCAGAAAATTGGTATGTTGCTCGAAGAGCAAATATTCGATGCATGAGCGAATTTGTTTGTTGTATTTTTTCCCCATATGATTCATTAATCTCCTCTTGTTCGACTGCTGATTTCCTTAATCTTTCCTTTCTATCCGTGTGCTTGATTGACTTGATACACTTGTCTTGAGGTTTCAATGGCTGCGAAATGTCTAACATTATTTTCTGTAATATGAATTTGCTGTCGGCAAGAAAACATTATGAATCCGTTTGTTAACAACAGCAAAAAATAAAAAAACAACTGCGACTAACTATGAAGAAAAAAGGAGTACTCATTTGCGGCCAGTCCGATTGCTTCCTGAATCCCAGGGCTTCTGCTAACTTCACGCCGCCCAGATATTTCCCAGTTCCTGACTTGCCGTAGTCAAAATGTGGTTTACCGTAAAATTCATACTATGAATTTAATTAGGGACATTCTTAGCATACCTTCCAGGGCTTCGATGGTGGCGAATTTTCTTGTTTTCGAGCAAAGCTACCTCGCATATGTTACATATTACACGAAGGTGCACGAATTCTGCGTATTGTGGTTGACCGGTCTTGGTGTTTAAAGTCTTCCTCGCAAATGTCTTACAATAAATGTGCCATTATACTACAGGTATGCGGTAAATTGGTAGCGCCATGCTGCTGATGAGGCGCTGTGATTGGTTCAGCACCCGGACACTCTGTCTAACCCAGGCGGGGGCGGCCTGTCATTCATCATCTCAGTGAAGGGAATCACCAGCTGTCTGAACTATCGGGACAGCGTGAATCTGTGATCGGTTGGCCATCTGCCCAGCCTGAGTGGTGGAAGCTGCGAATAACGTTAATGAGCACATTCTCAGTGCTCTAAGCGGTCGGAAAAAGGTATCACTCCGTTTGTGGAACAAACAACAGAGGTAAGTAAATAATAACGAACTTACCAGAACTTGCATCTTACTAACGGGGCCCTCTTACAAGTGGTAGCTTGGGATCCGCTGTGTAATTCATTGGCTGGGAGTCCGGCTAGGGACCCTCTATATTGTGAGTGTTCGAGCTCGCTAGGCCAACCCAGCTATGACTGAATGTGATAATTTATGTTCGCTTTAACACTTTCCTCGGGATTCTATGGATGTCTGAATGAAATGTCTCGGAGAACGGATATGATGCTTACCCTGATGGACCAAGCATGATGCGTTGTTAACCAGCTAGCTCGCTTGCTAAGTGTACAGACTTCAAGTGGAAGAAATGGCTGGCGCACTGTTCTGACCAGCTAATGGTAACGCGAAGACTGAATGCCAGCGTTTCAACGCCAGCCAGAGAGCAAGCGAGCCAGCGGGCTAGGTAACTCCGTCTGCTGGCTTTGCGATTCCGACCCCCTGCTAGCTTGCTAAATTTTCCCGCAGGTCTTAATATTAACGCTATAATAAACGATACAGTGGGATACATTGGCC